GAGACCCCATTACCACAGCTCATGAGCTCAGATATACGGAACGCGAGATCACGCACTGCTGTGGATGTTTATCCTCCTCTACTCCGTCCTTTACGGCTAATACAGTGGGTGTGTCAGCTGGAAGTGAAATTAATTAGCTGCTCTGGGCTGCCCTTGAACTAGGAAGCAGAACCATAGGCCCACACAAATCGGTTTTTGGCTAGGAGCTCTAATATACAAATAAACACAGTTTTAGAATTTGTATTTTACTCCTCTCATTCCAACATGCTGAAATAGATGTTTTCTGTAATATTTTTTTATTATTTTCATTTGTTTTGCTATTTGGTATTCAGACACTATATTAATGCAGCCAGTATCTCTACTCGTTAAAAATAGTGACCTGCATGTCACCGTCAAGTCTCACGAAGGGGTGCTGTATTTCTGGGAGCAGCTGAATTGCTCTAATACCGTACGAATGGATACAGCTTATCAGTGAATGTGATAGCCACATAAGTAATTTACACCAGTTTTATGATTTTATGATGAATATTTACTTAAGATAATCATGTACACCTGGTATGCAGAGTGTCTCCAGCCTTAAGCCCTGTGTTTCCAGGGTTAGGCTACACACCGCAGTGCTGGACAGATGGATGGAAGGACAGTCATGTATAGTGTAGAGCAGGGGTCACCAACATGGTGCCCACGGGCACCAGGATGCCCCCAAAGACCACATGAGTCGCCCGTGGACCTGTTCTAAAAATAGCACAACTTAGTGAGCAGCGTGTAAAAATGTATTTTATCCTGTTGCTATTCTTCAATCACATTTGCATTTATATAGATTTGAAAGTGACAATATCTAAAAAAAAAAAAAAGCATTTAAAACATGTTTATTATACATGAAGTTTATATAAGTTTAGAAGGGCGTTTCAAACTGGTAGCCCTTCGTATGGCTCAGTACCCATGAAGTAGCTCCCAATTTCAAAAAGGTTGGTGACCCCTGATGTAGAATGTACAGTGGTCTAAACACGCCTTCATTGTGGTATATTGTCACTCATTTTGTGCTTTGCATGGGGGAGGCATTTGTAAGTTACAGCATGAAAGCTACATCATTGACCAAGTCGAGGGAAGTGAGTTTAGGAAACAGGTCCTAAAGTACACAGGAAATAGTGAACGATCCTGATAAATGAACACAACTTCTGGAAAAGTTTGTTGGAGAATGAAAACAAGCTTTTTTTAAAATCTAGAGCTACATGTCTTGCAGTGCAGCTTTTTTTTATACAGCTGGATTGCTTTGCAAAGGTATTTCTTCAAAGTGCACAACAGCATATGATACTCTGAGACATCACCTAGAACCCCTTGGGTTAACTAGGCTTCTAACACCACAACAGCATATGATACTCTGAGACATCACCTAGAACCCCTTGGGTTAACCTAGGCTTCTAACACCACAACAGCATATGATACTCTGAGACATCACCTAGAACCCCTTGGGTTAAGCTAGGCTTCTAACACCACAACAGCATATGATACTCTGAGACATCACCTAGAACCCCTTGGGTTAAGCTAGGCTTCTAACACCACTGCCCCTGCTGCCCCCTCCCCAGCATCAGAGTCCCGCATGCCAGTGATCCCAGAAACCCCATGATCAGAGCTCCCAAAACAAAGCAACTGCACAAACTTGCAGGGGTTTAAGATGTTGCTGACATCCACTGGGATACAGCCTCTGCAGTGTTCGGGTCTCTTGAGGAGGCCTATGCTCCAGCAGAGGAGCAGGTCTGCTGGCAAGGCTCAGGCACCCTTGTTCCCAAGAGTTTGTGCTGGAGTGTGGTTACTGTTATTCTCCGAGAATGACACTTGTAACTTTCCCTGGGTGTCAGACACAGACATGGGTTGCTACAGCTGTTAGTGGTGAAACACCCGTCAGTTCAGCTAAAAAAAAGAAAAAAAAGAGAGAGTTGTCTGAAGAGTTCTTGTGGTTAGGAAATCTGGCTCTTCCTACAAACTGAGACTTATGAATTGTAATTATTTAAACGAATGACTCATTTAACTTGTTTGCCAATATTTACACACTATGGCCTCACTTTGGATTCAGGGCAAATGGGAAAATAAAACAGAGCAAATCTCTCTCTCTCTCTCTCTATCTCTGGAGAGGGCAGTTGGTTATATACACAATGTCTTGAAACAAATTTAGTTCATCTAAATGGATTTTAAAGTATTCTCCCTTACACCAATCTCTGCACTGCTACAGATATCAGTATTTGCCTTCACCAAATTTAAAGTTAGGTTACTCTCTCTTGCAACAAGTCATGTCTTGTAGTTCCCTAATCCATTTTCCATATATATGTCTGTCTTGCTGACCATTATAGAAATACTTCTTGTAACAGAATCTTGTTTAATCCCAGAGGATGTGGTCAGGTGAACTGCACAGCCTTGTGTGATAAACCACAATGACAATCCATAGTAGAAGCCACACAATTGCACTTTCTCATTGTGTACATCACACACAGGATTTTCCAGTGATCAGGCTGTTGGAAAATGGGGCCACTGGGCGATTCACTGGTGTCCTGTTACTCCTGCTAGGTAACCCTTAGGACAGAAGTCCTCATTCGTGAAATATCGCCTTTACACACTTGCGACAGTAGTGGTGCTGTGACATTTAATACTGTAACATAACTAGGTGTAAGTAATTTTTAAGATACCTAAACACATGCAGCATATTGATTCATGTGCAATGTACACTGCAAAGGGGGGGGGGAATAAAGTGACAAATCAGACTGCATCTCTCTATTGAATAAGCAGTTACAGAACATGGATGGATGTTGAGTACATTATCTGTTAGCACATCTGGGGCCTAATGTCCCCATTCTCACTCCAGTCATGGTAGAATGGTATGGTAGAAATGGGAATGTGTACTTACTGACATAATTAGCACTGTATTATCATGACTCCCACTAAGGTATGTTTAAATGCATCATACTTTGGATTTTTTATGTTTTTCATTTATGGTTACATATCTGAGTATTTCATCATTTTCCCCAAACATAAACTTTGCTCAATGTCTACATGCTTGAGTAGTCTGATAGCCTTTTATTTTGTAATGAGTGTAAAGGTTCAACAATTGTGAGTCAGGTGATGTGGTAGGTAGTTGGGTTTTCTAACTGCACTTGTAAGCAGGTCCTGTTTTTAACCCAGGCTGACCTCTAACCTTAGTTGCTTGTTGATTTGTAATCTGTTACTCAGTTACTTAAACTGTGCTGCCGGGTCTAGATCACAACATGTTCCCTTCAGGTCAGACTCAGAACTGGCCTTCAGCTGGCTGCTGTTTTTCTGTGGGAATGTTCCCTTCTGTGGAACCAGTTCACTTTGTACTACAGCAACATTGACCACGTGAGGTAGATGGAAAACAATAACAACAAAAAAACTGAAATAATGAAATCTTGAACCACTTCCCCACGGTCTTACCTCAGATGTTGAAGCAACATTTTCTGTGTCCCATCCTCATTTTTTTTGGTTGGTATAGTACAAAAAAATCAACTTACTAAATTTATGTATGTAGATTAGTCTAGTCATTTTTCACTTCCATGACCATTTCCCCCCATGTGTCTCAATGCATTCACATTTACAATCCTTATGTGTGATCGAGTTTAGTGGAACATATTTCACATGACCTACTTAAAAGGGGGGGGGGATCTGTGCCTATTTAAGAATATTCTGCTAACTCAGGAAAAGCTATTAGAAGTCCCAGATAGCCCAGGGATGTGGAAATACTGGCCCGCTTTGCTCAGCAACAATTACTGCGTCTGAGCAAGCTATGCTGGACTTTTTTAATGGCTCTGTGGCATGATGTGCGATGCCACTGTAAGACAAAATACAACAATGAACTGCATGTGTAATGTATTTTAATCCATTTTTAATCCGTTTCTTCAGCTGTGTGTCATGCATGATGATTACTATTAAAAGCACATGAGGTTAGTAGTACTGCAGGGAAGCTATGGGTTCTGTGACGTAACTGGACTGCTTGTGTGACTTAGATTGGGGATCATTGTTAAGAGCGGTGAAGCCACCATACTTGCACCCCTTCCAAGCCGTAAACTGAACTCTAGTCTGAGAAACGTTGACTGTTCCACCAGCTGAGCCTATGCTAGCACTTTCTTACCCCTTTTCACTTGTTTTATGCCACTGCATGTAATATTTCCAGGCTCATATTTTCCATGCCAAGCCTCTCCACATCCTGCTTATGACACAAAGTACTTCAAGTAGCTCAGCTAGAAACTGCTTTCAGTAACCTTTGACCCCATCTGCTTGAAGTCAAGGTCCACTGGAAAACGTGTGTTGGACAGCAGTAACATGCTTTAGGTTCTCTCTTCCTCTCTTCTTCCTTTTGTTCTTTGTGTCCTTTGTTTATCTTAACTTTTCTTCTTCATCTGCTTGGATCCTCCAACCACTCTGTCCATTGGTTTCTCCTGTCTGGAACAAGCTACCCAACGGAACAATATGTTCTCTCTGGTTCCCACTTTGCGGCAGGTCAAGGAAGGAAACGCTTGATACTTTTAATGCGTTTACGGAATTGCACTTAGTGACAAAAATTACCCGGCTAATCCTGAAGAAATCTTGTTAGCCAATAATTTAATCTAACTGGGAGCTACAGGCATGGGATTTAGTGCTTACTGCCCTTGCTTTTCCCACCCTGCTCCTATCCAGTCTCAATCACACTGAAATTCAGCAGGGCAAATGTATAGATCAGACATACCATCAGGCAGCTCTTAGGAGACTCAAGTAAGTAAAAAGACACTGCAGTTAATATTATAAAGTATTACCAGGAAAGAAAGCAGCAGGATTATTTGTGTTCTTCAGTAAGATGACCATTTTTACCTGTTTCCACTATAATATTGTGCATATATTATGATAAAACTGCCAGCTCACTTTCCTGTAATGAGTTCTTTGCTGAATAAATCTCTCTCTGTGTATCGGTCAAGTGTCTGGGTTTTTTATGGTGTTCATGCACATTTTCCCCTTGGCAGTGATCCGGGCAAAGGTGGTTGGGAGGAAGGAGGTGGACTCCGGGAATGACATCTATGGTAATCCGATCAAGCGGATTCAGTATGACATCAAACAGATCAAGGTAAGCTCCAAGTGTCCAACAAATGTAGCTGGTGTGCACAAATGTAAAACTACAAAACTAGTAACTATTCAATATGTAGCATCTAACTTGTCAAAAGCCTGCCTGTGAATTCCTATTTATTTGACAATTCCTCATTTCACTGAAGGTAAGACCAGTATTCTATAGGGGCAGTAGGCAGCAGGGCATTTAATTATACCCTCCTGAGACCCGACCTATTCATTTATGTCCATTGTAGTGGACATTGTATTTTTGCATTTATTTTTTCACTGATGTTGGGAAACGTATTTATTCTTGTTGTGCACTAAAGAGGACATGCTGTGAAATTAAAATAAGAATAAATTAGAAAAAATCTAAATTGTAAGATGTCTTATTTCCTCCAAAGACAAATAACCTACAATTGAAGGACACTTTTTTCCTTGGGTCTCAGGAGGATATTGCTGTCAACAGAAGTTTACTGAATCTATCATTAATGGTTACTGGTCACAGATTTTGCATGCTGTACTTAACCTAATTTGCTTAATTAAAAAAAAAAATCCAGTCACATAAATGAGTAAAAAAGGCTGTTATTAGACATACCATTATTAGATAAAAGTGGAAAAAAAACGCTCTTCACCTGTTTCTAACAGATGTTCAAAGGTCCAGATGTAGACATTGAGACTGTGTTTACTGCCCCTTCCTCTGCGGTATGTGGGGTCACCCTGGAGCCCAACGGGAAGAAAGAGTACCTCATTGCAGGTAGGAGTCTGACCACAGGCAGCACCAACTGTCAGGACGGCACAATGTGAAGAATGACATAGCAGCGGTGTTGCCGTGTAGTGGAGCTGTCAGGATTACTTAATTAAACTCAATTACTTGATTATTAAAAAGCACCAATTTAAACTACAATTAAAATTAAACTATTAAACCCTTCTCGATTACTCAGCAATATGGCCGACGGTAGACAGCACATGCAAGGTGAAGGTCTAAATAAAGACCGAAAGCATCATTTGTGTGGAAGCGCTTCACATAAAAAGTGAATGAGAATGCAGTTGTCTGCCAGTATTGCAAATCAGGACTTAAGTATCGCCACAGCACGACTGCAAAGCAAGTACTTCTTAAGAGAAAACATTCAGGTTTGACGGACTCGTCCAATAATGCGAGGTCAGCCAGACATGTCCCATTTAGTCTAGCCTGTCTTTGTCATCACTTTAAATTATTTTGCGAATTGTGATTCCTGTATGTCAAAATAATTGCTGCTCAAACGATGGCTACTCCATTGCTTAGCCTCATCATTTTACATAATACGGTACGTAATAACCAAATAGCATTAATTGTTTTTTAATGTTTTGTGTGTTTTAAGTAGGGCTGAACGAGATTAGAAAAAGGTCACACTCCAATATTTAGGACTTGAAAATTAACTATATAGCCAAATGTAGAACTTATCTACCTTTAACTTATCTACCAACAGAGTCTGCAGGATGTAGCCACTGTAGCAATTCTTCTGTAAGTAGCTAAGATGGGAGTATACAACAAGATGTGTGAGCATGTGGCTAAAATAGACACACATACAGATTTCTGCCATAGTATTCAAAGCAATTACAGATTGACTAAATAAAACTAATGGAGAAATGTAATTGCTGCAAACATAAATGTTTGCCATGAGGTTCAGGTATGTGGAGAAAAGTTTACCTGAGGTAGGATTTTCAGAAGTAACAGAGATGTCTTGCAATTGCATCAACACAAGTACACAAATAATAGAGAAACCATCATCAACAGAAAATGAGAAAAAATACTAGGTGGCTACATCAAGGAAGAAAAGAACCCAGAAATGCTGAGAACTGTAGTTAGGTTGAAAAAATCCACAGGTGGGATAGTTGAACAAATCACAACTAACAACTTTGGTCATCGTACACTCCCTCCCGAGATACCAAAAATCACTCCCCAACAACCTCACCCCCCTGCAGTCCTCATCTACGAGGATGAAACTCAGCTGCCAGAAAGATCAATCAAGTAAACTTCCATGCAGCTGTAAGACACTGAACCCTAAGCCAGGTGAAAGTTCTGTCCAGAAGTCAGAATGCTGACCAGACAAGCACAACATCCCCATCATTCCATTGTCCTTCTTTGATCTAAGGGTTTGTAACCCTCCACCTCTATTTCTGTAGGCAAGGCAGAGGCTGGTGGCAAGATGCATGTGACCCTCTGTGATTTCATTGAGCCCTGGGACTCTATGACCCCCACACAGAAGAAGAGCTTGAGCCAGCGCTACCAGATGGGCTGTGGGTGTAAGGTGAGGGGGCTGGGTACCACAGTGAGGCTGAGAAGGGGCCGGAAGTGGGAGCACAACACTGCTTCTACATAAAGTACCGAACAGCATTGTGATCAATTGTGCCGTGTGGAGAGGATTAGAGTTACAGTAGTATCTTTCCATTTACAAGCTCATTTGTTTCATTGCCAGTGCTGCCAACACAAAAACAACTGTTCTGTTATCTCAGATCACCCGCTGCCCTGCATTCCCCTGTACCATCACCGCCCCGGAGGAATGCCTGTGGACAGATTTGGTGATAGAGAAGAGTGTGAGCGGACGGCAGGCCAGCCATTATGCCTGCATCAAGAGGAGCGACGGCTCCTGTGCCTGGTACCGCGGCATCGCCCCACCCAAGAAAGAGTTTCTGGACATTGAGGACCCCTAATCACACGTGTTTTCCCACCCACTGCACCACCTGATCTAAACATTTCTGCAAAAATGATCATTTTGAGTTAGAAAAAAAAATCAGTGAAGAAGTTAAAAGCTAAGATTAAATAATGATTAAACTTATTGTGAGAAAAATATGATAGACATAGACTGGTTCGGTGATGATGTCATTTCCTCTTAAAGGCAGGACACTGAGATAGGAGAGCACTTCCCTTGCCCCAAGTAGCGCTTAATTCTCTTTACACCAATTATGCCTTATCTTGAAACATTCCATGTAATTTGTAAATCGTGTCCTACATTTCAGATAACACTTAAATGCTGTTGATGTCTAACTAACCAATCGCCGCCCAGATATCAATCAGACCTAACAAATATCATTCAGTTTCTGTAAACTGTGCTGTTTGGATGTATGAAATAATGGTGAGGCATTACTTCTTAAGATGTTCAAGGAAGAATAACTCTGTTTTTCAACAAGTTGTACAGGTTGGAAGTGATATTTTATACCAAAGCTATACACAGTTTTTAAGTCCAAAACTGGCTGCTTCCAACAGACAGTCTTGTAGTTTCTATTAAAACTTCAAATATTCCATTCTAAGTTCCTTTGTTAACGTTAAAGGAGTGTTATTCCAGGGTTTCTGAAGATTTCAGATTCTAACCAAAGCCAAGAAGGAATTAATTCTGCCCCATTCTGCCAGAAAACCAAATCATTTCATCATGGTGGCACCACGTAAAACTCGCAAACAAAAGAGCCTAACCAGCATTATGTCAGAATCTTCACTGAATGCTGATAATGTTCTCTCTGATTATGACCTTTAACCTCTGAGTAGATGAATGACATCTCACTGGACCAGTCTATGCAGCTGCCTTGGTTTGGTACTTGTGTTATTGTGCGCATCTGTTTCAAGTCATTGGCTGGCCATTCCATTTGCCACCCCCCCCGTCTTCCTGGCTCCTGTATAGTACCTATGCATATGCCTTTTTAAAAAATATATATTTTGACATCGGTCTTAAGTATTATTATTATTATTATTATTATTATTATTATTCTAAATTCATTCATATTTTTGGGTAGACCTAGATTTGCACTTCCCAGGGAGACACTGCCTAAGACGTATTTGTGCAAAACAAGGAGGATTGGATCCTCTTCTGTACTTCTTTAATGTTGTTTTTTTATAGTCTTTTATAGTTCCTGGTATAACATTTTCATTTTTTTATTATTATTGTTTTTTATTGCTATTTTATATTATGCCTTTGTTTTTCCATGTCAGAAAATGTAGAAAATTTTGATATTTTCTTAAATTGTAGTCCAGTTGACTTTTGTAAGATTTTGTTTCATGGTGATTAAGGTCTTTGAAAGGAGAGATTTATGTTCTGTTATCTATCATGGATTTCCATGTCAGATTGCTGAATATTTGTACAATTTTTAGACTGATGGTAAGGCAGATATATAAGGCTATATATCTCATATTAAATGATTTTAAGCTTTTTTCCTGTTGAAGACAGCTGTGCCCATTATAGCATGACACTCCTTCCAATCTTCTCTTCCAAATGAGGGGCACTGCATGGAGACCTAAATAACCCAAATGTCTTTGACTAGATGTTGCTGAGTGGAGGGACAATTACTTGAGTCTTGGTGAAGAATTAACTGTTTTTTCAGGGTTTCTGTAGGGCACTAAAGGGTCTACATTAATATTAACCTCCAGGTAACAGCCTAGTAGATTTTTATCCCCATTTAGGTGCATCCATGCCCTTGTGCTAGGAACACAAAGAAGCAGGGCTAAAGTTGGGTTAACACTGCATGTTCTCTGGTTTTTGTAGTGCAAGTCTGTCCATAAATATTCTGGATAACTACTAGACAAACTCGTTGCTCTGTTGTTGTAGGCTAGTTAATGGATGCAAATGTCGCTTGACTTTTTTTTTTGACAGTTAGGGCGTTTTCGTTATCGTATAGCTTGCTAGACATATAGTTTGCTTTAATGAAACTGTCTTTGTGACAATTTTCTTGCTACACATATGTCATGTATAATGAGAATACTTCCCAAATAAGCAGGTTATATGGTATTACTCTAAATAGGCTAATATTAACCAAAACCTTATGAATCACTCTTGTTTCCACAAGTTCAATCTCCAGATACTCCTAAAATAATAATATAAAGAGAGACATTTAATGTGGTATTTTTTATACTCATGTATGCTATTACAATTTGAAAACGGTGACATAATTTAAAACTTGGTCGAGCCGTGTTTTTACTACGTAATTTTCTATTATTAATTTGTTTAATTTCGTAAGTTTTCGGCTTCCTCGTCGAAGTACGGAAAAGTATGGTGCGACTTGTGCTGGAACCACATGAGAAGCGTTGTATAATGAGAACCAGACTATGCATGTGTTTGTTGTTTGTGTAATTCATACGTGGAAATTCTGTCATTGAACAAAATATACAGTATTATCAAATAAAAATGTAGAATTACACCGCTTATTGCTTTTGGTCATTCATCAATCAGAATGCTGGAGCCATGCTAATGCTGGTCATTTTTAGATACGAGCCATGTCCAGTTTTACATTCAAACAAGATTCTTCAAGGGCGCCAACTTAGGTCACTATGCATAGCAAAATTTTCAGAAATAAAAATCAAAACCACACACTCGTATTCACAGAAAAGATACGTCTGGTATTTTCAAGCACGAACGGCAGCGTTCTCCTTCACGTGTGATGACAGTGTCACCGCGTGGCCAAAATGCCAAATTACAGTCTTGTTTTACTGTAACATCTAACATTACATTAACCACAATGGTAGGGCTACTGCCAATACATATATACTTTTTACCACTATAGTGTGTCCTTCCTAAGTTCATTATTTTGCTACCATTTCTTTTTGATGGGAAGTATTAGAATTGGCTCTGGACCAGGACCATTAAAGAGAGTGCCTTCACTACTGACCCATTTTGCTGTTAAATTGGTATGTACCGCCCTTGGTATAACTCCTAAATTTAGAAGCATCTCGCATCGGAACATGAGTTTTCAGTAAATATACTGTTTCAGCCTCATTCCTATTTAGGTGGATTTTTGTCCGGAGGGAACTGTTGCTAGGAGTCAGCAGTATTTCGTGTTTGCAATCCTCAGCCCTTAATACTGTAATATAGGCCTCCATGGCCAACTATGCAATTTCTGCATTTAAAATACTTTTTTAAGGGCACTGCATGTAGCTGGCGTTTGCATGTCAGCGTTTTCTTGCACTGTTAACTGTACTGTATTTTGTCTTATCATAAAAAAAACACCGGTCGTGGTGAGAAAACATCTGTGTTGTTAACGATTGTTTGGGGCTGAGGAAAAAATGATCAACACGCCTATGCAAGGCCGCCATTTTGGCCCGCAGCGGTCAGTCCGCGGCCTTCGGACGGCTCGTACCACTGCGGCTCCCTTTGTCACTGTAGACCGACACACAGGCACATATACAACTAGGAAAAATAGCCGAATATCGAACCTTTAAAAAAAAAAAGAAGAAAGAAAGAAAATAACTAATAAAGGCAAAATGTTAGAGGGTTTGGCGAAAATGTAAATGATTATAATTAAGGTCCCACTGGGGGTAACGACACAACGTTCATTCTACCACTTCGGAGACAACTGGTAACCAGGAATAACAGGAATACCTGAAACACAAAAAAAGTTCTCACAAAAAGGAAATCAGACTGAAAATTAGACTTACCCGGGCGTCTTTCTTCACTGTTTCATGTATATTTTTCGCGCTATCCGGCCTGCCCTGCACGCGCTCGCGTGCCCTTTTTTGATGAGAAACCTCTAAATATGTTTTGTAAACGTCAACAAGCGTGTTTCCGTTTTTTCCCATTTTAAACGAAATGTGGCGACAGATTGCAAATCACTGCCATGATAATAATTACAGAAGTATTTTGCGCGTGACACTACTGGTATATTATATAGGCTAGGCCTATTAATATTTTACTATGTTATTAGTATGCGTGTTGTTACAAACTTTTAAAATTTATTACAGGACATGCACACTGAAAGTGATACACATTTAAGTAAAATATCATTTTGATGGAAACAAAAATGTTATTAAGCAGTATATTTTGACATGACAGCTAATAATTACAAATTCAGGCCACCAGGAGGCACAATAACTAAATAATTAAAACACGGCTGCCGTCAATGGGGCTCTGCTGGGGAGTCAGCACACCTTTTCCATCTGCTCAGTCGGGAAATCCACATTTTCGTGTGCATTCTGCGGGCATTTTCTACAATCTAAACTCGAAATGGTTTTTTACACATTTTGTTAACCGTTGTTCAGCCGGAATTTGTATCTACTGAGATGGTTTGTTTTTATAAAAATCCAGGCCTACCCGAATTTATATTCGAAATGTAAATATTGTTAAACGTGTTGTAAAGAAACAGGGAGGGAAACAAAAAAAATCTAATTAAAAACTATGAAATCTAATTAAAAACTATGAAATCTAATTAAAAGTATGAAATCTAAATAAAAAGTATGAAATCTGGTAATTGCATGGTTGTTGTAGATGTTTTAGTATCACATACCACCACGGATGACATCAATTTACTTCCCAAACCCTTAAGAGCTTCATATATACAGTATACATAGTCCTATTGATATTCACCTGCTTTGATGCATGTAGTCTCGATAAAATGATTGAAACGATGGCTTGGGATACAAATTTATCCAATCAGCGTCAAGATCATCACGACTAGATGCTGGATAAGCGGTTATTGAAAATGGATGGATGGATCATGCACTTATTTCCGGGGGGTATTGAACGAGATAACACCCATCGCGCGACATATTGGTAAGCAAGGATAAGATGGAATGCGAGAATAAAGTAAAAATACATCGGACCCTCCGGAGTAGCTGAGAGGAGTTTAATAAGCCGAACACCGTGACGATGAAAATCAATTTCACATCGGTTTTAAAGCAAACCGCAACTGTGTTCTTTTTCTGTGGGAATGAGGTGATGTTCTGCATCTTATATTAATACTTCAGTAACCGTACTTGGGGGGGGGGCATAAATGATGTAGTAGTGCCCTCTTACTCAATGTAGACCTATTAATTAACCAGAAACTAAGTGTATTAGGCATAATACAGGTCTATATTTTTTTCTGTTACAGACATTGCAGGACTTATTGACCATCAGAGTGGGAATGCTTAATTTAACCCTTTGTTAACTGATAATGGGGTTACTGAGTCAGTGTGAAACATGTGTTGACTAGTCATTCAAAAGCTAAACATCTGCAGTCCCACCAGGGACTAATAATAACTCATATGCAGCCTGTTGTGAGGCTGGAAACAGCATGAATGAAGGCCGCAGGCCAGTTTCACAAAGCTGGATGCCTTGCCTAGCCAGACAACTTGTCAGATTTAAGGCAGTCTGGACTAAATGGAAATGAACGAAGATAAAGCCCATTTAAACCGAGGTGCCTTAAATCCGATAAGTTATCCAGCCAAACAAGAAATCCTGCTTTATGATACAGGCCCCACAAAATAGACAAATGAAACTGTTTATGGCCTACAGTGCACACTTTAAAGTGAACCCAGAAGACGGGAGAGAGCTGCAAATGACTTTTGTTTAATAAAATGAAAAGACGCTAGAATGCCTAACCATAGAGGCATAGACTGTGTCAGCACAGCACTGGATATGGCACAAGTATCTGCTTGGTTTAAAGTGTTTCATTTTTTTTTAATTTAAAGCCAAACAATGCAGAACATTTGGGTATGTTTGTTGTGCATTGAAAAGGCACCTGCATAAATGAGACTGACAAAAATTGCTTTGCAGTAGGCATCTCTGATCTTTATTACAAAGTGTCAACTTTGATCTTTTGGTAGTGGAGATCTTAAAATATGGGGCTGTCCCTTCAGATAAAATTTATTACACAGTAAACTACAAAGTTTGTTTTTGGTCTAAGTTTTGGAGACACCCAGTGTTAATAGTTTAGCACAGTGTCTGCCAAACTCAATTTCTTTTAAAGCTGAACACCTCGGTCGACTGAAGTTGGCGTTTTCTTTTTAATATTCCATGCGTGCTACATCAGTAATCTTCCCGTCAAAAAAATTCCACTTCATCAGATATGCTCAGTGCCAACATTTACAGGTGCATGGACTTACAGAACAGCCCTTCTGTTTCACACGTTAACTGGCTACAACTTGTCAAGGACAAACGTCCTGTAGCTAACTAAAAGGTTATACAGTTACACGACGCTGAGCCGTATAGAGAAACACTCGTTTTGTTTCAAGGGATATGGGATCTGAACGAGACGAAAACAAAATGGAGGACATGCACTCCTCCTTTCAGCCATTAGGTGTCACCATAAAATATGCTGAAATGATGGCATAGTCTATGTTTCTCTGCCCGACAGGAAGGTGTAATTTGTATTAAGGGTTAATAAAGTAAAATTGCATCCACTCAAATGCCTACTCTAATTAATTAGGATCCGATTTAGTTACTGTGTTACATGTAGGTGTTAAATTTAACCCTGTATAATAGGACTTGTAAAGACACTACACACATAAGAAAATGCATTATGTAGCTTAATCTTAAACTGATGCATTACTGCGGTACTTTTCAGTTACATATACTTAAAATCAGAATGTGTCAGATATCTTAAGGAATTCCCTGTTCACCTGCTTGCAAGATGTTGACTGAGATAACTTGCATGTGTGCCTCTCTTTTGTGAAATCACTGCTTGGCAAACAGTCCCCATTTTTTTTTTTTGTCTGGAAGTTTACTTTCCACATGTTCCCTGTTAGTCTACCGCAGGCCTCGTGTGGGTGTTCCTTACTGCAGCAGGAAGTGGGTTCCTGTTGTAGGAAGCAGATTGGTAGTTACGGACAAAGAAGTCTTACTCGAAGGTTGCCGGGCCTACGGTGGTGCCCTTGAGCAAAGTCCTAGACGTGAATGGCACCAGCAATATTTCCAGCTGTGTAAATTATGAAAAAAAGTTATAAGTAGCTTTGAGCAAATGTGATGGCTGAGGAGCAAAGTAAATATTAGGCTACTTTTAATAATAAGGTGCCTATTTGAATTTCAGGTAGGTGTTTGCTTAAGGCTTTGAGAAGGTTTTAATAGTCAATAAGAGCTGGTACAAAGGGGAAAAATACAAAATAGCAGCAATTGTTATATAAGATTTTACTGTATGAAAAAACCCTTCCTTAGCTGGAGCTCATGGTTAAGATTTCTCACATGACTTGGATGGTGCAGGACAGTGTTGGGAAAGCAGCATGAATTATCTCTGTTTCAGCAGATATTTGACTGGGGGGGGACTCCACAGCAGTTAATACTCCACGCCCCCATAACCAGCTATGCAATTTCTGAATTTTAAATCCTGCTTTATTCGTTAGGCATTTGTGCACTTTTTTATTTTGCATTGTTTTGCATTTTACTTCCATTTTTTCCTGAAGGTATTTCGACGCTGCATCTGTGTGAACCCCTGTCACTGTTGGTTTCTACACCAT